GGGTGTGTTTTCCTGATCAGGCACCTGATCAGGAAAACCTCCCAGGTACCTGAAGCTGGAGACCACTGGGAGACCACTTGGTCTTCTTTGCGTTGATGCAGAGGTTGTTTTCTCTACATCAACCCTCCAGATGTTCTACCTCCTGCCTGTAGTTGTACTCATCGTTGGCTGTGATACATTGAACCATGGCTGTATCATCCGTGAACTTCACAATCAGACAGCTCGGATATAGTGCTGACCCAAATGCAACACACTAAGACAAAAGCTCTTTCAAAAGTTTACTCCAGGATCAGCAGGTACAAATACTGTACAAGTGCCTCTTATACTGAATGAGTCTTTGAACAAAGGAATCTCTACTTGGAACAAAAGAAGTCTCTTAACCCTTGTAAGGTCCTTTGGGTCTAGGTGACCCGGGGGTCACCTAGACCCAATGTCTTTGTGTGTGTGCGCGCGCATGCATGCATGCATGAGAATGCGTGCGTGTGCATGTTCCTGTACTGCATGACTTGTGCCAACTTTTCCTTATATTCATTAATACTCATATTCTGGGACAAGATGAAAATCATTGCAAGGACAAACGGTCTGTACAAAAATGCGAAGGACTGCCAAGGGTTAAATAATCATGGAGTATAAACACAGGTGTCTTGATAATGAAAAAGTCCTTGAACAAAGGGAGTTTCCGCTTAGAGCAAAAAGTCTCTTGACAAACGTGATCTCCGCTTAGAGATCCAGTAGCTGATGTAGCTACTCCCACTTGATAGGGAATCCCGCGGGAGTGATGTCACCGCAGCGGATTCCCTCTGGACAGCAGAGCAGCGGAACCAAATCAGGAGCGGAAAGGCAGAGCAGAAAACTGCAGGAACTCTCCTCAAAAACAGCAAGAAGAATCTCGTCCACAGAGCAGGTGAGACTGGGCGTGGATCGTCACGACAGGTAAGTCTAGGACTGCAGGGAATTTCCACAACTAGAACAGGAAAGAGAACATGCAGCCTCCGTGAACAGACAAGACAATCTGGCAGTGAGGAGTGTGTGGCTGTAGCTTAACCCTTGTGTGGTCCTTATCAGAATCAGAAATCAGAAATGTTATTATTGCCAGGTAGGTTTTCACCTACGAGGAATTTGTTGTGACATACAGTGCAGCAAAAGAAATGTACATGAAGGTATACAAATAACAAAAACGTATCATTTTTGTACACACCGTTTGTCCTTGCAATGATTTTCATCTTGTCCCAGAATATGAGTATTAATGAATCTGAGGAAAAGTTGGCACAAGTCATGCAGTACAGGAACATGCACACGCACACATACTCACACACGCACACACACACAGACACAAAGACATATCACCTAGACCCGAAGGACCTTACAAGGGTTAAATACGCTGCTCGCTCATCAGCGACTGCCGGTGAGTGCAGATGGACCCAATTTCTTGATTGCAGCGCTGCAGCAGGCATGATAAACCCATTTTCCAGAAAGCAGCTGTGTCACAGCATTTCAACCCTCACCTTAACCTCATATATATGAACTTCCTCATTCCACTCCAGTTACAGCTCTGTCCCCGTCAGAGGTAAACGTTTTTCCGACGCATCCTGGTTATCTCTGAATCTGACCTTTGAGCCTCAACTATTCATTAAACATTACAAATTATACTTCTACATTGTAATTTAATTTAAAGAAATACATCCCAGGAAAATAAAGTCCTACCAGAACCTGTCATTAGGTTATGTTTATTAGCCTTTCTTGGTTCATAAACCGTCTCCTAAACCATATATCAACCGTCTAGACATAAACTGAATATTATCATACATGCTGAGGCAGTCAGTCAATTTCATCGAGGTATATGATCAGGTGGAGACGTTGCTCTTGAAATCTCACTGAGAAATTGGCTTTTTTTGAATGACTGATCAAGTGCAGTGTCACCGTGTCATCAGAGTAAATTATTCACACAATCTGACATTTTCTACAAATGCAAGTTCAGCACAAACAAACTACTTGACTAAGCAAAGTTTCAATCAAAGACGGTAAAGTTTGTGGCTGATCAAAAAGCTTTAGATTGCAGTTTTTTTTTGTCCAGAAAAGCTGGTTGTCAATTTAAAGAAAAGATATGCTTGGTAATTCACCTTAGAATTTATTTAAAAAATTAAAAAGAAATACACATAGTTTTACAATCAAACCCAATAAAGACATAATATGTGGGAGGTTTATGCGTAAATCGAGGCTCCACGCCAGGGCAGTTTTTAAAACAATTGTTAAAGCCTTAACACGTTTTGCTGAGGATAAAACGTGTTAAGGATATTTTCTTTTTTTTTTTAGGGAAAAAGTTTAATTGTGCGGATGGTAAATATTTAATGTAAGAGAGTTGGCGAAAATGGGTGGGAACAGCTGCTGAATGTGCATGACATTTAAAGTTGGCCAGTGAAAACACAAAGTATTTTTTGTTTTTCTAATAGACAAATACAGCAAATTAATGCATATGCGCTTTGACGAAACCAGAACTCCTTCCTGTAGTGTGTGCGAATAACTACTGTGTATTGATGGTTTCATATTCGACTTAAACTCTTTGAGTCGCTTTAACTCACTCGGGTTCTGCTCTTAATTAGACCAATGATAAGTGGATGAACGGTAGAATATAAAGTGAATCATTCTGAGCATGTAATAGAATGCAGTATATAAATTTCATCTGATATTTATTTGCAATTTAATTATGGGCGGGTCATCACTTCAATTTTAGACCTTCCTTTTGAATTAGTTAAAACAAAGTTGTCAATGGTGATATTTGATTCAGCTTTTTAATTTTATTCTCCTCGTGTCTCACTCTGTAGGTGAGTGAGTGTATAACCCAGGGCAGGGTGCTGCAGCGCCCCAGGACCTGTCCTAAAGAAGTGTACGACCTGATGCTGGGCTGCTGGCAGAGAGTACCACACATGAGACTCAACATCAAAGAAATCCACAGTTTGCTCCTCCATCTGGCCAAGGCTTCACCTGTATACCTGGATATACTGGGCTGAACACAGACGGAGGAGAGTTTCCTGAATGTGTGAGAAGAGGGATATGTTGAAGTGAGGCTGTTTAGTGTCTCAATATGCATTTTAAGGTTCTAGTGTGTACTATAGGATGGACATGGTGTCACCTCTCAATAAGCTGTGCGTTCAGGTGCAAAACACTGCTGTACAGGATTTGAAGCTATTATCGAACTCTTCGAGGCAATCAAACGCATCTCCAACTCCGCCCCAGTCCCCTCTCCCACCTTCCCACTTTTTGCTTCTTTTCAAATACTTTGAATCCACCTGTGGCTAGATTGAGCACACCTGATGAAGAGGTCCCTGACGTCGGGACCGAGGGACTCACTTTACAGGATTTCCAGAAGCTTATGCTTTTGTGTGTGTAAATATGAAACTGTGCAATCTTTTCAGAAGAAATGGCTCTGCGAGATGTCGAGCCATAAAGACACTGTGTTTTTCTCAGCCCCTCTATCATACAGTCCTTTTGTTCTTTTGTCTGTCTAAAAATTGTACATGAATACTGGAAAAATGACATTAATCTACAGGTTAATATGGTCGATTAGCAAGAACACACTAATGACCAAAAATGAACAAAAAGAAACCTGATCTGTAAGAAATTAAAGATCAGGTTTCTGATTGGTCAGATTACAGGTTATAATAAACAATACAAAGCCAACTGAGGCTTGAAGATGATGTGGTGGAAAAAAGGGGGGAAAAAAAGAACGAGAAAAGTTGAGCTTTTGTACAACATTCTAGCTTAATAATGAATATTAAAAGCAACAAAAAAGGGAAAAATACTGATTGATAATGCAAGACCGCTAATTTTACAGATACAGTATATGCACTCATATCGCACTGCCTTGGTTTTGCGTTGTATGGTACTTTGCTTAGGCCAGTGCTGCTCCGTGGTACAGTAAAAAGTGTAACATGATGACGATCAACCAACCAGCGTCTGGCAAAGTGACAGATGCCTCATGTGTGATGTCAAGCACTGGTGTCAGAGGTCAATTGATTCATTTGTCCACAGCTGTCCGGCGAATGGGAGGCTGGGCTTTCAAGTGGTCAGATCACGATTAGATGTGTGGGCAGCGGTGCTGTAGAAGATGTGGTTCATTCGGTCAACCCATATTAAATCATCAAGGCTCTCAAGCACTCAGACATCCTTGAAAACCACATCTGTGCTGGAGGAGATGCACGCACACAGAAATGCTGTATACCTTATCCTGTCACCCCTCCCCCTGCACCTCCTCCTTCTTCACACACACACACTGAAAGACAGGCCGAGAAGGAAATTGAATTGTGCATGTTTTATTATTTGAGCGGTGCAGTGCTTTAGCCCCGGCCCCGTCCTCTGTAATGGTGTAATGTATATTTTATTACAGCCTAATGGGCCACATTAGCACAGTCTCCTCACAGACATTCAAGACTTATTGTTTTATGGCTTAGAAGGAGAGATGGACAGATGAAGGAGAAAACAGGAGCAACTCTGAGAAGCAACAGAGAAGAAACACAAGAAGAAGAAGTAGTAATAATGCATACTGGGGAGAAATGTAGAGCAGGGGCAGAACTCAGAGGCAATGGGGTAGAAAGGAGAAGGCAGTGGTAGTGGTAAAGGTGAGAATGGGTCGTGAAGATGAGGAGGAAGAGGAGGTGTGAAAGTCCTCAGGGGGAGAGTGAGAGTGATAATCCATCATCGCTGTGGCCCACAGATGTTCCATAAGCCACAACTTCAAGCTCCCATCACATTCCTTTGGCTACCTTCACACACACACATGCACAAACATATTACTGACACTCCACCAAAAGCCTACAGTGAAAATAAACTCAATGATGCATCACACATCTCTGTGATGGGGAACCATTACGTATCTCGTAACATTCACAGACACTGTACAAACAGGCACTCTTGTGCATGACAAACAGCTCTGACATTTACCAGGTGCATCATTTACTTCTTGGAGATTAAAAATAATAATAATAATAATAACTACAGCTTCACCAAGAGATGAACATTTTTCTTTTTTTATTATTTGTTTGTTTCTTGTTACAACAGCACTGGTTTTAATGTGTGTGAACTTTTTAAAAAAGTTTTATTATTATTAATATTGTTGTAAATTATGGGAAAATTTGAACATTTCTTTCTATTTCAAAGGCTGCCTTTTTGAACAGCAGATGCCTGTTTAATTTCTTATGTTCTGTGAATGTGTACGATTATTTTGACTGTGTGTATTTTTTGTTTTGTTTTAGTCAGGCTTCCTTTCATGCCAGTTCTACCTATCCCATTCTAACATCCAGGGATGGATGTCACACCAGTCTGTCACATTTCTCAATTCAGTTTGACACATAACAACGTCACTGTCTCCTTTTAGAGAACGAATGCGAGGTTAGTGTCCACGGCACTGACGATTAAGGCTCATCCATCCATGAAGTCATGTCTGAATAGAGTTTCCACTGACTGAGCACACTCTCAAAAATCTCTCACACACTTTCCCTGTGGAAAAAAAACAGAGAGCAGGGTGTGTGCAAAAACTGTGAAGAAACAAACAGACTGAGAGCCTCTGATGTCAAACAAGTACAGTACCTGCTGTGGTTCCTTATCTTAAAATAATGACTTGTTTCAAGGTGGGTGTTGGTGAGGTTTTGACGGTTATAGGAAGAAACTGGGAGAGGGATGTTTGTTAGGATGAAGCCTTGTCGACACAGCTGAAGAGATCTGTGAACGCAGCGCTGCTTAACATGAAAGACCAAGGACTTAAACCAAGGAAATGAAGGAGGAAAGGAAAAAACAATGACAACCGCTGTATGACCGGACAGCTCGGTGAAATGAGGGACAGACAATCACTGACTTCTCTCTTTCTCTTTCGTATTTAAGTGACCTAATGTAAAATAGACTCTACAGCCAACTTTCCTCTTCTATGCTGCCTATATTGTATGTGATAGTCTTAAACGTTTGGTCTCTAAAAGTGCTACTTTCTTTTTTTGTAAGATAAAATGAGTCAGAGAAATACAGAAAAAAATATGAATAAGCTGCTGGAAAGAAATAAGTGTCACTAACTGCTGTGTCAGTATCTCCATTCTACTGTTTCTTTCTATTTTTCTTGGAGGCTGACGGCCTAAGAATTGAAAAGTAGGGAACGTATCTACTCACGTAGGCCTGAGGTTGGAATTATGGCAGCTAACATTTATGGAATCTCTCTGCTGCTTTATTTTTGGCCCCAGAAATACATTTTAAGGACGTTTTTGTGTTGCATGAGCAAAATTCATCCATGTGATGAGAAGAAATTATTATTTATTCATGTTTTGTTTTTTTCGTGTTTTAACATGAGCGATAAGCTGAGTTTTGGGCTATTTAAGGAGTGTTTTTGGTCACGTTTGACCCCACCATCTTTTCTTACAGCCCTATAACATTACAGTCTAACATTATCCATCCATCCATCATCAACCGCTTATCCGGGGCCGGGTCGTGGGCGCAACAGTCTGAGCAGAGACACCCAGACTTCCCTCTCCCTCGACACTTTCTCCAGCTCTTCTGGGGGGACCCCAAGGCGCTCCCAGGCCAGCCGAGTGACGTAGTCGCTCCAGCGTGTCCTAGGTCTTCCCCTGGGTCTCTTCCCAGAGGGACGGCACCCGAGCACCTCCCGAGGGAGGCGT